TACAGGAAATACTTGTTTAGTTGGTAGTCCAATCACATAGGCTAAAATGGGCTAAAACTGGCTATTACTACTTTAGACAATGGGAGGCCATCAATGCCTATTGCTACTTTAATTTCACTTAAATTAGAAGTGGCATAACGAAGAAGTCCTGATTCTAATCCAAAATGAAAATATTTTCCAGGATTAACAGGCAGTAATTTTAATCCAGTTGATTTAGGTGTTATTAACAATGATCTACTATCATTAGGTAAATTATCTGTGTAAATATGTTTATTTTTCTTAAGAACTTTCCACAATTTATTGAGTGCAATGTGAGAGATGTTATATTGGATAGCCCAGGCCCTAAGGTCTTCTTTAAAAGTGTAATCTGGGCTTCTGGCTGGACTACTGTTATTTACCTATGCCAGAAAAAATAGTACTCAATTAATTTAATCAGATAAAATATGATACTAAAAATGTAAAATACAAGTAACTATTATGAATTGCTTACAAAATATAATATACGTATATCTTTAATTATAGCTACCTATATCATAATTTTTTTTTATATAAAATAGTTATATTAAGATGGATATATTTTATAATATTATATAATATATGTATTTATTATTCCAAATTCTATTTTTTAATTCAATCAGCTGCATTTATTGTGTTAACAAAATTATTATTTTTTATATTATTAACACAATAAATGCAGATAATTGAATTATAAAATAGAATTTGGAATATAATAAATACATATATTATATAAAACAAACATGTTTTAACAAATATTTAGAAGTTATTATAAAATACCTCGTCAATATAACCATTTAATACTAAAAAAAAAAAAAATTATGATTGGTATAGCTATAATAAGAGATATTAAATAATATTAAAACTTTATTTTTGAGCTATTATAGAGTTGCATTAAAATCATGAATTATGAATTATACTAAAGCATATCAAAATGATAAATGTAAGATAGGATATGTAAGAATAAATCTATATATGATTAAATAAATAAAAATAAAAATAACAATTTAAGTAAGATCAAATGTTAACTTAAAAATTGTTATCAGCATTTTTAAATTGTTTAACTGTCAATAGATCAAAATTTTAATATATGATAAGGTAGGTATAGATTGTATACCATAAACAATAAACCTATTATAAATAAATAGTAATAGCATATACATATTTTTTAAGTAAATATTCTAAGGAAAAGTTGCTATTTAATTTACTTAGGTACCTATACATAATTTTGAAGAGAATGTAGGTACAAATGAAAATAATGAGGCTGTTAAAAATTATGCTATCTTGACTTGTATAGTTTAGTTTATCCTACAAACAATCAATATCTTCAAATAATCCTATTAAAACGTATACTAAAAATATTACTCTAATTTAACAACAATGACTTACATTTTCATTGATTAATACGTTGTTGATAGACAATGTGCTGTGATTATTAATATTAATATTAACAATATCATAATATATACTACTATGTAATTCTTCACAAAGTTCATCAGCAGCATCATCCAATGGTTTATCTCTCGGTTTATCTGTATCATCATCACTAACTGTAGATATTTCCTCGTAATTTATATCTGATGTAGAATAGATTTGTTCAAGCATGGCCATTTCATTTCTAATCTTTCTTCTCTTTGTTATATTAATATTATTTTTATTATTATTCATATTTATATTGTGGGTATGAAATATATAGCTTTGGAATATATAAGCTGTTATATAAAATAAAATATCATATTTAGTATGTAGGTACTTATAAAATAATACTAATTAAACAATATACCTATCTACGTAATGAGTTCAATTCAGACTATGTAGCCTAGGTAAATTGTATACTAGACTAAGTTTACCAAATTTCCTTTTATACAAAATAAATTATTATGTAAATAACAAATTAATATTTTACACTATATTATTACCGATAGTACCTAATTAATTCTAACTTCTTTTTGAACATAGTTTCAGTAAAATTGTCTGCAATTTATTGTATTAAGATATTATTATACACCCATGTTGTCTGCATCTATTAGACATACAATATCAAATTGGAGTACATCAGAACTGATTGTCTGTAGTTAATTTTAATATTAAAGTGAATTTAGGTACTCTGGAATTTACTATTATCAAAATTAAAGATATAAGATCATTTGGAATTTGTATTTTAATTATTGATTATGTAGTTTTGAGTACCTATGTATCAGAGCATGTAGGTACCAATAACAATCATACAACATTATATAAATTAAAATATCCAACAAAACACACAAATAATGCCCTTTAAGTTGTATACATGTAGTATAGGTAGGTACCTACCTAATAAGTTAATTTACTCATAGCGACTCACATTAACATAACTTACACAGCATAATTTTGGTTCTGATAGATGCAAATTGGCAATTTACTGTGGTACTTACATACGTTTTTATATGGCTACAACCATTGGTTTTAAAATATACATTAGGTATATAGATAAATATGGGTAAAAATGTATATACCTAGTATATTTTAAAATCAATGATACAACACATGTGCGTGTGTAATATCCTCATTATTAATACGCTACAATATATAACGCACACTATTTAAAAAACGTCACGCACTGTGTCTAATATAGGTACTCACAAATTATAATTTTAACATATTAACCTATAACTAACTATACACCAACTATATATACATACAGCAGGCTACCTGTACTAATAATAGTATCTAACTAACTACTCACTTTTTATTACTATACTAGTAGATAATATACAAATATATACTATACAAAGACACAATAAGTATAATAAGTATACAACACGTTTTTGACTAGACTTATAATAATTAGGTATATTAATTGCAATATGTACTCACCTTCTGCAGGCTTCTCTTGAAAATTGTAGGTACAAAAACGGCCGGCGTACGGGTACTTAATATTATATATCTAAATATCAGGAAGGTAAAATGAAACTAAACTATATAAGTATATAACTGTTTACTTTACTCTTTGGCTAAACATTAACCAGCAGCAAATTAACCTCAGCAAAATATAAAATTGTAGCCGTCAAACTCGGATTTGGACTTAGGAGCACGGAGCAAGAAAGTACGAATGTCGCGTGGTGCACTAGTACAGTAGTACGTCTGGGAGTGGGGACCGGGAGAAGTCGAGAGTCGAGACGTCGCTGTCGCAGTCGCGTCACTGCTAGTTTGGTAAAATATTTGTTATTTTTAGATTTTGATCGATTCCAATCTACGCCGGCTACGGGCGATTGGTATGATAACTGATAAGAGGCGAGCAATGTACCCGATGTACGTTATGTATTATGACGTGAATTAAATATGTTTTATAAATGTGGTAATATTCTTACTCTATGGTTGACGCCCGCCAGCTCGTGTATTCTCCCGTTATTTAAACATATTATTTTGGCCGTGCAGAAAAATATATAAGATATATCGACAGATATAAGTGGCGGGAGAATACGCAGGCTGGTGGTCGTCGGCTAAACATTACCAATTTTAAAGAGTTTCGATTATAATATAAACAAATTTTAAAAATTAAAATAGGACTGCGCACGCCTTTGATAGTCATGCAGAGAATGGAGTACATAATCGTATATATGGGGCGTATATTGAATAATTAACTGTATAATATGGGCCATATTATATAGCTAATAATATACAGTATATAATATACCTAATATAATATATAATTATACTTCACAGGCTACAGTGACGAGTGGAGGGTAGTATAATATAAAGTATAATCTATCTTAAGTATAATGTATAAAGTGTAGAATATATTTTTTAAAAAAGGTCATGGTTGGTCGCCTGTGTAGACACCTACGCCCATGGTTATTATGATAAAATGTGAATATTATAATTTAAAGAAAGGTTAAATAATTTTATTGATAATTCAAATCCATCTTTTTTTAATAATTTGGATAATTTTGATAAATCTGTACCTATATATAGTGTCTATATTAACTCATTTTGGTGGTATTTTTCCAATTTTACATTACCTATAATTATGTTCTCGTTTCCCTTTCGTAATTAATACATTTTATGAGCTTTGTAGTAAATTAATATACATCTCTTAATTTACCTGTCTACTTGTTGTTTTAATTTTTCTTCATTGGTGTAAACTTTTTTTTATCTGCTTTTCAGTTGCTATAATATCACAGCAAGATTTGTAGAAATCCCTTATTAGTTGTATACTTTTTTAGATTCTGAGCGGAATTTCTTTAAAGAGTTTTATATTACACGTCCAATATCAGATTGAACTTTCCGAGACTAGCTTCCGCCGCCATTCCTGAGTTTAGACTTGTTTTTCTGTCAGTACAATCACCGGCACCCGTTTCCGAATGGATTAGGTACCTAGTAGATTTTCATCATACGAAATGCTCATCGTTATCGCCTGGATCTGACGATTTATAGGCAGTTGCCGTCAACAAACCGTTTTGACTCATCACCCCCAGCTGGTTAGAACTCGACGATGCATTAAATATTGTAAGTTGTTAAATTATCTCAGCGTGATTTTTTTGGCATCTACGTCATGAATTGAACGACCACTTCGTTTCAAAATCATGATCCCACTACTTGCCCCTATTCATAGATGAACATGGCGTTTTAGGAGTAGGTGATCGGTTGTCTCGTGCTCATATCCCTGATAGGCAAAAACATACGATTTTACTTTCCAGACACTTTCACATATCTATTATAATTGTATGACATTGGCATGAAGTGTTACTTATGTCATGCTGGTCCACGCGTAATTACTATTTTAGTTTCTCGATAATTTTGGGTAGTGGCTCACCGCTGGTCAATCCGTTAGGACACATTAACATGTTTTGTGTGTGTCCGTTTTTCCGCTAGGAATTCTCAGCCAACTTACCACCCTACCAAGGACGCCGTTGTTAATCGTAATTTATTATTTATTTTCAACAGGGTTGAACTTCATCCCGTCATAGTGGTCGCTTGGTATTTAGTAACTGTTGACTAGAGCTATGGCTGAGTGCATCAATAACCTGACCAACTTGCTCAACAGATGGATAAAGGAAATGGACACCCCTAACTACAACCCCATACCTACGTTGATCAAGTAATTAAAATCGTCATAATATTAATGATGGATCTTTTTTCAATTTTTATAAATTAATAGCTTGAGATTTAGGCTGTTAGTTTAGACTTTTTTTTAATGTTGAACTTTTTATAATACTATTTCAAGCAAATTAATGGTATACTGAAATACGATAATAAGTTTATTATTTATAAATTTAAATTACCTTCAAACACCTTAACTTATTCATTATTCAATAGATTTACAAAACATGATTTTATATTCAGTTTGTCTGGTATTAAATTTCTTAATGTCAAAAATACTGTAGTTAAAACATTTTCTAGATTATGTGAATTATTTGAAGAAGAAATCAAAAATTATAATATGAAATACCCGGATCCTACTGATGAACGCCATCCATCTGAAATAGATCCAACTGGTGCATTGGATCGGATGTATAAGATTCTGTTTGACCATTCTTTGGACCATTCTTTAATGGAAAAAGTAGATTTTAAAATTACCTAACACATCTTTTGATTTTATTAAATTAATATATTTAATTAACATTTCTATTCATAAAATATTTTCAGTTATTAATGGTTTATTTAAAAGAAAATTATTGGCCAACTATAGATTTAAATGTTGCTGCATGTAGGCTTATGATAAACCTCATTCATCATAACGTGATATATGAGTTAGAAACACCTGTTGTTTTGGAAAATGTAAGTAAATCTTTAATTTATAAGATTAATGTTCGGAAACTTATAAACATTTTTAATTTCTAGCATGAACTTATTGATAGTCTATTCAGTTGGTCAGAAGATACTAGTGAACCATTGCAAACTTATGCAACGGGATTATTGGCATCTTGTATGGAGTTACCATTAATTTCTGATCAATTAAAGTGTGTATAATTATTTTTTTAGTATTTACTATAGTAAATAGATACTTACATTAATATATTACTAAAATATAATTTAAAATTATGTAGGGAACGTAATAATAAACTTGTCCCATTTATATTGGATCGTCTACATTCATATTATACTCAGTTTTGCGAAGAAAATAAAATCAATCAAAGCACAGAGCTATATCAAAATACAAATAGTGATCAGCCCAATAATCATTATATAGGTGCTTCATCTCCAAAAATAAGAAGTAATTTACATTCTTTAAATAAATTATAATATATAAAAGGTATTTTGATTTATTGATACACTTTTAACTATAAAAATCATTAATTGTATAGTAGGTATTTATATATTTAGATAATATACTAAAAATATTTGCGTCATTTAAATTTGATATGAATTTTAGAAAGAAAAAAAAATGGTATTTGTAATTCATCCTCTATTGAGTCTAAAGCAAGCAACTGGATACAAATCTATCCACCTACTTTGTCAACAAAATTGGTTTACTGTCTCAAATATTTAGTGTCAATTGGAGAAAATCAAGCGGTAAGTAGTTTTTATTATAATGTTTATTATGTATTATAAAATTAAAAATAATTGTTTCTAGTTCTTAAGCCATGCCTACAAGAAAGATGCAATCAACCTAGTTATGAAAATAATTAATTATTCAGAAAAAAAAAATGATTATTTAACTTTTGTAGCATTCAAATACTTAGCTGTTCTATTATGCCATAAGCAAATTGCCACAGAATTTATTGATGCTCAAGGATTACAAGTATGTTTAATAATATTTATGTAAATTAATTTGTGCCAAACTAAATTTTATTAGGAAGTAGTAATGGTTCCAAAATGAACTTACCTTAGTTAAGTTGTAAGTCAATACTGACATAGGTACAGTTAATACAATATGAATAGGTAATTGTGGTATAAATAGCTTAATATTGGTCTAAATAATTGAAAAAAATTGTTGTGTACAGAAAATATTAAAATAATAATATAGGTACATAATGGTTAATGTATCTACTATAGTCGCAGACAGGGACAATGAAGCTATGCTCTTCATGAGCCAAGTGGCTATTTTTTGATAGTGATACCAAATCATAAATTCATATTTTATAATCAATTTATATTATAATATATGATGATATGTATTATAGAAAAGGCAGTAAAATATTGAGAAACAATGGTTACAATGGGCTGTGTTGGCCAACACTAATATTGTGTGCCTGTGACTATAATTCTCATGTATTATTGTTTTTGGTTTTTTTTTTTTATTATTTTTGTATAAAAAACACTAGAATCATTATATTGTTTTAGGGCAAATTTTTTTTTGAAACTAATATTTCCGTATGACAAATACTAAATGTTGTGATAACGTATGCATTAGAATAATCTGAAATTAAATAAGTAATGCTATTACTTTTCTTAAAATGTTGAATGTATGTTATTTAAAAAATATATTCGTTTATTTTATGTTTAGAAATTACTTTTAATTCCAAAACCTAGTATTCTATCCAATGGTGTTTCAATTTGCTTTAAATATTTGTCATATTGTGAAGAAGCAATGGAAAGGATTTGTCTTTTATCTGAACAAGTCCTTATTGATCTTGTAAAGTATGTCAAAGTATTTTGCTGTTTAATAATATATTATACTTAACTTGTATTTAATAATCACTCATAAGGTGTGGACTTTGGATGTTGGAGTGTTCTCATGATGCCAGTAGATGGCATGCAACTATGTTCTTCAATTATAGTTTTCATTTTAGAGTTATTCAAGAAATATTTGATAGCCATGATGGATTACGTAAGATTTTTAATGTGGTATGGTTTATTTACTTATTCCAAGTTAAATTAGTTAAGTGAAATGTACTCCTAGTATTACTTTTTACAGGCCAATTCTTTGACTTTTCTTCCATCTCAATGTATAGAATTTAGTACACGTTTTGAAAGTACAAAATATTGTCCAAGACAAATGTATCGTTGTGTCTGTGCTGGTTTGAAACATTACTTCGAAGCACATTTATATATAAAAGCACAGCAAATACGTAGAGAAAAAATTTTAGATTCTGTTCAAATTATTCCATCAACAAAGGCAAATAATTTTTTTACAGTACCTGGTTCTGATGTATGACATTAAAAAACTTATCTACCATATTATATAATTTTTTTAGTCTACAAAACAATCTCGTGCTAAAGTCCAAGAAGATGTAAAGCTATTATCAAATAGTATGTCCCTGGAAAACCATTGGACACCAATTGATCAATTTCTTAAATTGGGTGGATTAAAGTTTTTATTGCAAATAATTAGTGTGGCCAGTAATAGGAATTTTTTCGTAACGTACGATTATATAAAATAATTGGTTTCTTTAACTACCTATGCATGTTAAACTATAAAATTCCATTACAGACGTGGAGTCATTCAAAATGCACTTGAAGTATTAAACATATGTGCTGTATTACCAAAAGTTCAATTGGCATTATGTGAAATACCATCATTTGAAGTTCAAATAGATAATCAAAATGGTACCTCAATAGTGGAAGAAGATGACCCACGAGCTGATAATATCAATTGTGGATTGGATATTATTATAAAAGCAGCAAAAGGAGATCATTTAGATGCTAATATTAAAAAAGCTGCACTTTCTGTCATTATAACTTGTGTTTGTACAGAAATACATAGGGTATATATTTTCATAGAATTCTAAATTTCAATTTGATTTAGCATTATAAACTAAACAATGAATGTTAATATATTTTAGGAAGGTAATGAAGCTGTGATTAAAAAAAGTTGGGATTGTTTTAGAAAATATAATGGAATTATGGTAAGTTTAGTTTCAGTATTTATTTATTATTGGTTGAGTAGTTTGAATAAGATGCGAGTGTATGGCTCATATTATTTGATAGTAACTTATTTGGTGTAGTAGCAATCATTTATATATATTTAACTTCAATCCAATCTACTTATATAGACATTGTTATATGTCAATATTATTATACTTTTATATAATTGTAAAAAAAGTATTTTAACCTATTTTAAAAATTATTTTATTACCACATATCCATGAAATAAGAAAAAAAATTCTTGAAAATCTAAATACTAGAAAATTCCTCTGAAGTTCTGTGTAAACACAGATAAAGTGCTTAGATAATAGTTTTTAAATACCTTAATTTTAGCGGATGTAAAGGAAGAATATTTTAAAAAAGTTACAAATGTGTAATTTATTCATTTATTTATTTATTTATTTATTTTTAAAAATAAAAAACTAACATTATATAGAAACTAACATAATTTGTTTAGGTTTTACTTAATTTAATTACTATACAAACACCAAATGATGATTCTGATGCTCTCCGAGGATTAGCAAGTTGTGCATTAGCTGGATTGGCTCGCAGTGAATCGATTTGCCAAATTTTCAACAAATTGCCTTTATTTAGCAGTGGCGACTTACTAAGTACGTATTAATTATTTTAAGAACTTTTATGTAAATGCATCTTTAAAATTGTGTTTTCAATTGGAAAATGTAATACATATTTTTATGAATTATTTAGATAAATAATAGGTACATATATTATGTTATGTTATAGGTTTAATGAAAAATCCTGTAATGCAAGTAAATCTTCAAGAACATGCGACATTTCAAAAATATGGTTCAAAGTTAATAGAATTGGTTTTGGGGAAAACAATAAGTAATGGAGCTGAAATAGAAACATCATTGGCAAATACAAAACAAGTAGGTTTTAGTTTGTAAAAATTCTTACTCTAACTTTTAATACTGGTTTGAATGAGCACATTTCTATATTTTAACTAATAGCAAAGATATACAATCATAAATTCAAATACAATTTATTTTATGTAAATTATTGTGAATAATAACACAAGCTTAGTTCTACTGTAAATAAAAGAATATTAAATAGTGAATAGTACAGTTTAAGAATAATTTTGATGTAATTTATACAACCAATAATTTCTTTGTTATATTTGTTCTTTATTTCTATCTTATTTATCTGACAAGAGATTATCATATAATCAGCTCTGTATAAACATACTTATAAGAGGAGCGTCTAAACACAGGAATGGTGCAATGATTGTACGCATGCACAGGTGAACAAATAATTCAACAATGATTGTACCATATTGTACGGCACTGCCTTATCAGTTATCAAAATATTAAAAAATTACATAATATCAAAGAACAAACTAATAGTTAGTAGTCATTAACAATTATTGTTACAAGCTTAGAATAATTAAAAACACAAAGTAGGTATATACAAGAGTAATAATTAATAATTTGTACATCAATAGTTAGGAGAATGAATGAAATAAAGAATCTAATGTTCTTTAAAATATGAATGTTCAATATCTTGTTCTTTTAAGACATTCAAATTCTTATTTAAAAACAAATCACTTAAATCTCGGGTTTCAAGTCTGGAAGGTTTTGTCAAATCAATTTCGATTTTTCGTCTTTTATTTTTAGTTGAGTAAAAGTTGGTTTGTGTTATTATTTTTTTATTTGGAGTGGTTGGTCTTAATGAAAACTTTGTTGAGAATCCAATTTGACAAATTTCACACTTAAAATTCATTTTATGAAAATTTAAAAAAAAAAAATGTTTAAAAGAGTTTAATTGGACTAGGACTGGCTAGTTTTAAATTAGTCGTATATTTTTATTTTTATTCTATGATAGCCATTCCTTTTATGATAAAAAAAACCCCTCAAATCATTATTTATAAGCTTTTAACTATTAATTTAATAACATGTAATGAGATTACATTGTACACATTTGAATTTACCGCTCTTATTATGTTATATAACTGATAATAAAATACCGGTTATCACACCATGCGTACAATCATTGTTGAATTATTTGTTCACGCGCCCATGCGTACAATCATTGCACCATTCCTGTGTTTAGACGCTCCTCTTATAAGTATACATATATGTTAAAAAGGAGATAAAAAGTGTCCTGTTTGAAGTTTGTTGGGACAAGGGGATATGATTCTCAAACATGGAAATCTCGTTTTAAACGGGGTGTATGATCATTAATCATCCTAGTTTATTGCTACCGAGTGACTAAAAATATGTAGTTATCAATTTCAATGATTTTATGTATAATTTATTTTATTTTCAGGCAAACATTGTTGCACAAACTAAAATTAATTTTGATGGAAAACAATTGGACCTTATAGTGTATAAATATTTAATGGAAAAAGGTTATTCAGCAACTGCAAAATCATTAGTACAAGTTGCAAATCTTAATATAGCTAAAAAAAAGTCCCATCACCGTGTAAGTACTATGTGTAAGAGGTCTTGATGTCCGCTCTGTGTTGACTCCATCAAACGTTTAATATAAAGTTCATAAGTGTATAATTTAACTCTAAAGTATCGAAGTTATACCAAGTATGTCATTTTTACTTAATTCAACCTACTGTGGATTAATACAATCAATTGATACAAAATCCTAACCTAACATAACCATACTAAAATCCGATGAATAAAAAAAAAAAAAACCGAACATTCATAATTAAAGATAAAGAAGAAAAAGAAAAATAAGAAAAAGTAAACAATTGGTCCTAAGGAACCGGGTTTGAACTTGATACATTCTGTACTAAAATGCATTATAGTGCCACTGTGCCAACAGTCTTATCTCTTATACCAATAACAACCATTTACAAACAAAAATGTAAATCGTAAATTGTATAATCCCTGTTTGAGCACCTCCTGGAAGTCCTAGAGGTCTAATCTATCTATGTACCAAATTTCATCGCAAGCGGTCAAGCCGTTTAGGAATGCTTAAATGACACACACACAAACACACAAACGTTCATTTTATACATTATATAGATTAAAATGAGTTATTAGTACCTGTGAAAAAGTATTAAAATGTAATAAAGCTCATGCATTTTTAAATTAAATAACACAGAATAAATTTTCTTAACTTTAAATATGATAATTGGTCTATTTAGAGTAATATTTATTAAAACTAACAACACAAATGTGTCTGTTAAATGCAAATTGCCTATGTCATATGTTTGTGAGATATAGATTATCATTGCTGGCATCACATCTTCTTAAGAAATTATTATAATTATCATAATTAGTTGTGATGGTTAATTACATAAATACTAATAAATATTTTTGTACTTAAGAATCGGCCGATTGGAGGAGGAATATTACCAAAAAGTTCTAAACATCCGATTCAGAACCAAAAATCTGAATTATTCAATTTAGCAAATGGTCCTTTAGGTTCTGAATATAGTGCCAAAAGAATAAGTTTGAATGTCAATAGGTATTTTGTGTTTATTTAATATATTGTGGCTTATTAACTGTGTTGAAACTTGAAATATCTTTAGCAAATTCATCAATTGTATTTAATTTATCTAGACGATCAGAAAATCATCCAAAATCAGAGTCAAAACAAGAACTTGTGTCAACTATTTCTAAATCAGTTCACAAAAAAATTAACCAAGATTTAACATTACTTACTGATAATACTACTAACTCAAAGATTAGCTTGGAATCTATTGTTACAGAATACTTAACCAATCAACATGCTTCATGTAAACATCCTATAGTTACATGTCCTAAATTCGACTTATTTGTGTAAGTGTTTCATTTTCAAATAAATATATACCTAGGTACTTAATCATATTTTCATATAGTCCACACAAATGTCCTGATCCTAATCCAAGGAGCTCAATGTTTACAAACCTTGCTTTTCGAGTTTCCAAAAATATACATTCTAGAAAACTAAACCAAAGACTAATACACAGTCGCTTTTGTCCAACCGGCCATTTTAGCATGAATGATGAATATGCATATTTCACTTGTTGCGAGTTTTTAGTAAGTCTATTAAAACAGTATTATATATATTTATAGTATTAATAATAAGTTTATTAATTTTAGAGCCAAAATCGAATTGCTATTGGGACAACCTATGGTGAAATAAGAGTATTCAATTTATTTACTTCTCAAGCAGAATTATCATTTCCAGCCCACGAGTCTTATATTAAAGACTTACAATGCACTAATAATAAAAGGATATTGTTATCATCTGCTTTGCAGGGAGAGTCTTTAACATCTGTTTGGTCTATAACTGAAAATGCAATCAATATTAAGTAAAATTATTTTAACTTGTTTTTTTTTTTTAATATCTTATATTCTAAAAATTTTTTTTTGTCAAGATATTCTTTGGACAATGAAGAATACTGCACTTTTAGCAATTATGACCAAAATAAAATACTTGGGACTAGAGCAAAAATAGCAACAGTAATTATTTAATTTCATGTACCCATTATAGTTATTTTAATAAACTTTTAATCGTAACATTTTTTCTTAGATATATGATTTAGAAACTAGTAAAAGAATATTATCATTAGTGCCAAGATATTCAAATGAGTATAAAAGAAATAAAGCAGCATTTGATGCTACAAATGAATTAGTGCTATCAGATGGTGTATTATGGGATGCCAACGCTGGAAAAGAAATCCACAAGTTTGATAAAATGAATGAATTTGTGAGTGGAATTTTCCATCCAAATGGACTTGAGGTACTAAGACATATTTTTCATAAAATTAGTTAGATTTATATTGTAATGCAAAATGTTAATTTTACCTATAACTTTGTAGATTATATCAAATACAGAAGTCTGGGATATACGCACATTTCAGTTGTTGCGAACAGTTTCAAGTCTTAATCAATGTGATGTGATATTCTCAAAATCAGGAGAAGGGATGTATACTTTATATAACAATAACGAAGAAATTAAATGGTCTGACAAAACTTCATTTAAAACTTTAGATCCTAATGACTACTCAAATATAGGTGGATATAATGAACATAATGTTAAATATTTTATAGTTATAAACCATTTTAAAATATAATAATTATTTCTTTTTTATAATTGTTTTATGTTCTTAGCCACTGTTGATGTTAAAAAATTATAATGAAGGAATTTGTGAGTGGAATTTTCCATCCAAATGGACTTGAGGTACTAAGACATATTTTTCATAAAATTAGTTAGATTTATATTGTAAGGCAAAATGTTAATTTTACCTATAACTTTGAAGATTATATCAAATACAGAAGTCTGGGATATACGCACATTTCAGTTGTTGCGAACAGTTTCAAGTCTTAATCAATGTGATGTGATATTCTCCAAATCAGGAGAAGGGATGTATACTTTATATAACAATAACGAAGAAATTAAATGGTCTGACAAAACTTCATTTAAACTTTAGATCCTATGAAACTCAAATATAGGTGGATATAATGAACATAATGTTAAATATTTTATAGTTATAAACCATTTTAAAATATAATAATTATTTCTTTTTTATAATTGTTTTATGTTCTTAGCCACTGTTGATGTTAAAAAATTAATATATTATATGGCTTGCAATAGTTTTGATACTCAAATAGCTATTGTTGAGAATCAAAGAATGCCTTCCAATATTTGTGAGTCAATTGTACAATTATATGATGTTGGTAGATCTAGAACCAAAGATGAAGCTGTAAGTTTTTTTGTGATTATTTTGATGAACTAGAATTGATTATATTTGTCATTTTAGGTTGAAAAAGAAGACGATGACCTGCAAAATTAATTGTCTTGTAATTATTGCAATCATTTATTACTTTAACTCATATAATAAATAACTAGTGTTTAAGTAGACAGTAGTTTAAAATAAAAGTATCTTTCATATTATGTTTAATTAGTGTTTCCATCGTATTTCTAGGAAATGATAGCTGAAAGTAATGAAAGCAGGTTAGTCATTTTTCAAGTGGTAGCTGTAGCAATAGCAGCTTGTAAAAGTCATTGTTCATTTCCTCCATTATCTGATTCAAGTTATGATAGGTACACCATAATCATTATTTTATTTATTTTTTTTTTTTCTTAAGGAGTATTTTATATAAAATTTTTTTCATTATCACAATAATACACTGCTAATAGTTTTGATATAAATACCATTTTTTGTAAAGCAAAAACCAATTTTGTTTGAAAATAAAATACTATATACATTGTCTAATATAATAAGTTTAAATACATTATTTTATTTTGGTTGCTGATATAGCAACTTCAAAATTCCTCAGAAAGTGGAATCCTTGCATATTGCCTTGGAGTTAAGACCAAATTATTAAATGCACATATTCACCCTGCGTGGTTACTCACTTGCTCGGACAATTAAAATCCAAAACATCCATCGACTTGTTACGTAAAAGCACCTTGGGTGGGTATCGGACTTAAAATAGCTATTCCTTCAAAACTAAACTATATAGTATATAGTGTAGAAATTATACTTTGACAATTTGTTTTTCGAAAGTATTATACTATAATTTGGAAATAGACAATTAATTGGCAATCTGTGCAAAATTAAGATATAAAGTGTGCATCGATCCATATTTTAGAAACAACTATGAAAATAAACATTAAGAGATTTCCCATGATTACTAGGTAGTATTTTCATGTGGTCTGACAATATTTTACTACAATTTACTGTTGACCGTTTTTTATTTCAATACTTTAGTAATAAGCATAGACATATTATATTATAAAAACTAGAACTACGGACTACTATACAAGACATAAAGTGTTATATTTTAATTATTGTTTGTGTTTATAATAGCTTACATCGGAAGCGATCGGCAAATAAAACAATACTTCTATTTATATACAGTATTACATTGTTTTATTTATATAATACAGTTAAAATTGTTTACCCAAAATATGTATGTATACCAGACTAAAGTCTGCATATATAAATCTAAAAATAAATCTTTTGAAATTTCATTGATATTATAGGTACAAAATACTTTTAAAAACATTTATTATTTTAGGAGCATGTATAAAATAATTTATCATCACTGATGTACTTCAACTATTTTTGGTCGATAGGTCTTAATAAATCTGAACTAGCTAAAAACTAACTAAAAAGTTATAAACATTTAATTAGGTATGTTAATAAATATTAAATTATATTAGAATATACCATAAATAACAGAAATGGTTCAGTCTACACATGATTTTTTTATTTTGCATTTTGCATTTTCAAAAGCATCAGAAAAAACTATATAAAAAGGTGGGTAACTGGACGTTACTCTGCTGTACAGTAGGTTACAAGTGGTTCACTGTATAATGGAAGGTAGTTATTAAATTTGAATTCTATGATACCTATATTATCATATTGTATACGAAAACGATTCTGTGTGTCAGTGTGGATATTTTTATTATATTTATATTGTTAGTACTTATTATTAACACGGTAGCCGGTTGACTGTAAGTTGAATTAATACCTAATACCTATTATAAAATTACAACAAAATAACTAAAATCGTTATTCTTTGTTATTTATTTGTAATATCTTCCAATTTTGAAGATAAAATAACTATAAAAATAACTGTGTTATAATATTTTTGAAATTTTCCGATTACATAATAGAATATTTATTTGTAAATGTTCAATCCTTAGCTATACAAGTTGAACAATTTATCAATATTTAACTACTAAATAATTTATAAATTGAAATTTGATAAATGTTATCATAAATCGAAATTTAAATGTTTATAAAAAACAATTGTGTCTATGTATATTTAATAATTCCAACTGCTATTTCAGATATATATCAGTAGCCTTGTTTAAATTTTGCACAAGAAATAAATTTGTAACTTGTAAGTATTAATATTTATAGAAAAAAAATTCAAATTAAATTTCAAATTGTCCGTAAACAACTCAAAACCAGACAAACTTTTTCGAAAATTTTATCAAGTAGAGGAATTGATAAAATAAACCTGTGATATTATGATATAATATATCTCAATTGTCTACATTAATTCGTTTTTGAATTACGTACAACAAAATAAGAAAATCGCTACATGAGAAATCGAGTGAATATTCAATATTGTAAAAAATTTAACCTCACAAGCTCATTAAAATTTTTCTTATAGAATTTTTTTTTTTTTTGATAAATGCAGATAACCTAACGAGAAATCAGGAAAATTTTATAACATTTCAAAATCTTAGATTTAAAAGGAAACATTTTTTAGGAATTTCTAACTCAAAATAATTTCCACATTTTCGACGCTTTTAAAAAAAATTGTGATTATGGAATTTCAATATTTTTCAAAAGTCATTCTAACAATAAATTAATAGCCTTGTATTACATTTTGACTCATTTTTACCAAACAAACACAATTTTATTGACATTCATAGAAAAAAAAAACTTAAAATATTGGAAACTGTCCGTAAAGAGTTCAAAACTAATCAATATTTTTTTGAAAATGTTATCGTATATAGAAAATGCTAATATAATTATAATTAGTTCATTTGTTTAGAGCTACACCGAAAACCAAAATCGATTTTGTCAAAATTTGAACAAGACTCCTGATATATTGCTTAAATACGTAGCAGTTGAAAAATATTAAATTTAGGTACATAGACACAATTGTTTTTTATAAGCATTTAAAATTCGACTTATGACAACATTTATAAATTATTTAGTAGTTAAATATTTATAAAATATTAATTGTAAATTATTATGTAATCAAAAGATCTAAAAAATATAAAAACACAGTTTTATATTAAATAACCAAGAATAACAATTTTAGTTGTTTTGTTGTAATTACAATATAATAGATTAATGACAAAACAAAATAAGAATTCATAAAACTTTTTCTTTTTAAATCTAAGATTTTAAAATGTAATACAAGATTCCTTATAAGATTATCTACCTTTATCAAAAAAAAATAATTTCATTAAGAAAGTCAAATTAAATGTTTATGAGCGTTTGAAATTCAAATTTTTACAACATAGGATATTCACTCGATTTCTCATGTAGCGATTTCATTATTTTGTTGTAATTCAAAAATGAATAACTGTAGATACATGAAAATTTCACTGAATATTTATATTAGCATTTCCTATACACCATAGAATTTTGAAAATATTTTGACTCTTTTTGAGCTGTTTACGGACAATTACAGTTTTCAAATTTTAGTTTTTTTTTTCTATAAATATCAATAAAGTTTTATCTGTTGGTCCAAAAAGTGTAAAAATACAAGGCACTTGATATATTGTTACAATATCAGTTGAAAAATATTAAAAATACATTGTCAACATTTTTTTTTATAAGCACTTAAAGATCGAATTTTGACAAAATTAATCGAATTTAAAATTGAATAATTATTTTTTAGTTAAAAATTTATAAAATATTCAACTTTTATATCTAAGGATTGAAAATTCAAAACAAGATTTCACGTAAGTAGTTTATTTTGTTATCAAAAAATCTAAAAAATACATTGGCAAATTTTATTTTTATATTTTAAGTTCCAAATTGGACGAAATTACATAATAAAAAACCTAGAATAACTATTTTAGTTATTTTGTTGTGATTGTATAATATTATTCGTGGGTACTTGAAACTTCTAAAGTATACGAATATATATCTATGATGTTATCATTGTTTGTTGTTGGTGTACCTAATGGATATTGTGATATGACATTTTTGATAATATGTGACACAACTTTAATTATATTGTATAAACTAAAAACTCACTAGCTACTGTTTTCGATTCATTTATTTCAATTGGTTTTTTGTTTGAATCGTCAAATAACTGCAAATTGTTATTTTCCTCTTTTGGCATACGCGTGGTAGTGTCATATCGAATTTCTTAGAGAAGTCCGACCTCTTTTAAAACTTACAACGCCTCTAAGTTCATATGTTCTGGAACCTAATGACATATCAGTAACTGTCTCTTTCGGAGGCTGAACGTTACAATTTAACCATTCTGATAGCCAAAAAAAAAACAATGTACAATTGTGCCTATCGCAAAAAGTCTTATTTTATATCTGAATATATTAAGTAATATTGGTGATAACTAAATATGAAAATTATTGATTTTGATCCAATGTTAAAATTGAATATTTCGACTTACCTGGAAGACGGTGCAAAAATGTATGGTGGCAAACGAAAAATTGAAAAACTGTAATTTTTTCCATGAGGGGGGGGCTGGGGAAATGCCAAAAAAGGAAAAATGATTTTTCCGAGTACAATAGGTGTTGCACAAATTCTGGTTGTAGTCGCACAAATTCACACTGATGGCGCACTAATGTTTGGCAAAAGAAAAATTTTAAAAATATAATTTTTTCCATGAGGGGGGGGGCTGGTTAACATTTCTCCAGCCCCCCATATAATTTTTTTAATTTGTAGTTAAACCAGTATCCCACGAATTCTGAAAATAGTCACACAAATTCACACTAATGTTTGGTAATAAACAATTTCAAAAATTGTATTTGGGGGGGGGGGGGGCTGGCGAAATGTACGTCATTTCTTCTTCATATTTTAAATATCAATAAAAGATTCAAATTTTTTTTAGTATATAAAATAGTTATTTTAAAAATACGCACTTAAATGGTAACACATCTAATAACTTATACTCATATATAGTTGATAACATATTTACCTATACCTACGTAACCTATACCATTTATAAGGAAATTTATTGGGTAATATATAATACATTAATACTAACTGATCCCGTGCACTTCATCGCCCGTTAAATGTATCAACTCAATATGACTCAAACTTTGTTCAATTCGTTATTCAATATT